GCGTTTTTTTGGTTGCAGACAAGTCAAGTCGAGAAATGGATGAGCCCAGGTCGGACTATCATCCAAATTCACGAGAAGATACTCGAGTTCACCACAAAACTAGATGAAGTTCTGGAGAACACCGGTGACGTGCCCATGGGCTTCTATGTGCTACGCATGGAAAGCTTGCAGCATAGCATCAGGTGCCAGTCTGTCAAGTGGGTCTCAGCCCACGGGGAGCACCTGCGCGATCGCGCACATAACTTGCTTAAAGGTCTGCAGGAGATGTTACTTGTGAGTTGAAGAATGCCCTACTAATCTCTTCAGTATCAGTATCAATAAAACATTTATAAAGTACGTACATTACATATTGTGGATGAAGACACAATTGTTGGGTAGTCTAAATAGTAATATGACACGACTACTTGCTTATCACCAGTAGTATAATGTAATTTGATATTTTTACATGGGAATGTGGAATGGTCTGTTTGGTGCATGTCGACTGTGCTCTTAAATGAATTAACACAGGTGGAGAGGACAACCTCTTCGGGAAGGGCGTTCCACGCTGCGACTACTCTGTTGCTGAAGAATTTTCTCCTGACGAAATTTCGGGACTTTTGCGCTTTTTATTTATTTAAAGATTATATTTTTATTGATCACTACCCACCGGGCTCACCACAGCCCTCATCAGCAATACTGTTATCTCCATCCTGTAAAGTCCGAAACATGATTGCTCGGCAGGATGGATATGTGGCACACACAGTTGAATACTCAAAGTGGTGGAGTCATTGCATGACTAGTGACACAGCATGCATGCCCTATTTGTCGTCACTATAAATTTCAGTCAAATAATGCTCCGAAAAGTCGAGTTTGGCTGACGTAACTTGTCTGTTATGCGTCAGTAGCCATTTGCAACGATATACGGGGGGAAGGTATAGTAACAAAAGTTTGAAATGCAGTAGTAGCGATTGCTCGTGGGGCCGCCAAATTTTAAAAGACCCCCTGCCGGAGCTTCTTAGGAAAATCGTAGGGAGAGCTTTAAGACTGGATTAAGGAGTAGGGAATGCGTGTTTAATGCGTGGAAAGTGAACATTAGAAAATAAGTAAAGTCGTTAGTAATACGTTAGGTACCCGTGGTGCAATGGTAGAGTGGTATATTCAATGATCAAAGATCCCGGGTTCGAACCTCGGATGATCCACGGCTGGGATTGGGTATGACTTGGTGATGACGGCTAAAAGT